GGGTGTGTGTGGGGCTTATAGGGGTGGGTCAGTTGTGTGCAGTGCAACATCTAGGCGTATGTGGGGGCCTTATAGGGGTGGGTCAGTTGTGTGCAATGCTACATCTGGGCGTATGTGGGGGCCTTATAGGGGTGGGTCAGTTGTGTGCAGTGCTACATCTGGGTGTGTGTGGGGCCTTATAGGGGTCGATCAGTTGTGTGCAGTGCTAAATCTGGGTGTGTGTGGGGCCTTATAGGGGTCGATCAGTTGTGTGCAGTGCTACATCTGGGCGTGTGAGGGGCCTAGGGGTGGATCAGTTGTGTGCAGTGCTACATCTGGGTGTGTGCGGGGGCCTTATAGGGGTGGACCAGTTGTGTGCAGTGGTACATCTGGGTGTGTGTGGTAGAGTGGGGTGAGGGCTTATAGGGGTGGGTTAGTTGTGTGCAGTGCTACATCTGGGGGGGGGGGGCTTATAGGGGTGGGTTGTGGACAGTGCTACATCTCGGCGTATGTGGGGGTCTTATAGGGGTGGATCAGTTGTGTAATAATAATAACTTTATTGTTATCGAATCTCTGTTGAGATATAGATAAAATTACAATAAAGAATAAAATCATGATAATAAAAAAGTAAAAACAGAAAATTCAGTTGAGACAAAAGTAAAATAAGTTCATTGCATAGATGTTAATATTACAATAAAATCTTGTTTTTTTATTTCTTTATTTTTTTTGATGGTTCTGATATGAGACAGCTGGTAAATTTATTTATTCAAACTTTGTTCTCTCATTTGAAAACAACTGTAGATAAGTTGACCAAGTTCAATAATGGTTTCCTGATGTGTACTTTTTAATAATTTGATAAAATTCTGTTCTGCTGAACAGATATTAAAAACAATGTTGAATTTGTTGAAAAATGTCTTCCTTAATTCTGTATAATGACTACATTGAAGTGTTTCTCATCTTCAATTTCACTGTTTTGACAGATTTGGCATTTTCTGTCAGTACATCTTTATTAGTATATCCGCCAGTTTCAATGTGGAGATCATGGGCACTTAACCTAAGTTTAGTTAAGGCTGATCTATGGTGAGGTTTTTTTTATAATTTCCAAATAGTTTTCAAATGAGACATTTTTTTTAAGTTGCCTGTATGTTCTACATACATATGTGTGCAGTGCTACATTTGGGCGTGTGAGGGGCTGATAGGGGTAGATCAGTTGTTTGCAGTGCTACATTTGGGCATGTGAGGGGCCTGATAGGGGTGGATCAGTTGTGTGCAGTGCAAAAAAATTCATTTTATGCTCATATATATACTAGTAGTGGTTGAGAGTGGTGTGGCAATGCAAAATGCCTTTATGAGGTACATTTCAAACAGGTTTGTTGTTCTGGCATGTATGCCAAGAATAGAGTAAATTAACCTGTATAGTTATGCAAGTTTTCTCATTTAAATACTTGATTTTATTCAATCGATCGACAAGATTAGTCTCAACACTATTAGACATCTTTTCTCAACTTTACAATGTTCGCATATAGCATTTCAATACCTCTAAATATGTGCTACTTCTATTTCTTCATAACCCATCCATTTTTATCTGGGGTGCTAAACGATTTTAGAAAAATAAATTTGTCAAAATTTATTTCTGAGATTACTGGAAAATACTTAATTTTTGCTTAGAATTCAGTGAAAATAAAATCCAGCAAATATAACTTTTTATATATTTTACATTCAACTCATCAACAATCAGTAAAAATAAATTCCATACTAAACACCCCAAAAGTCTTTT